TCATCATATAATTTTGGCTACTTTTTCATTAAAAACAATATTTTTACCAACCGCCGTTTTTTTCTTAACACCCTGTAGTTTCGTCAATAAGCGGGAGTTTTGAAATGGGGCTTCTTCCTTTTATAAATGGAGAAACTTTAATATCGAAAATTGCATAGTTTATGAGAACAAGCATTAAGGACGTGGAAATAATTAAAGAGGTATTACAAAAGAAAAACGCTAAAATGTTTTGTTCATTTTTTATTTAGTGCATTTATATTCAAATAATGGCTTAGTTTTTTGTTTATATTATAAAAATGTCGCTGACATTCAAGATTTATCCCTAATTATTAATTGCAAAATGGTATTTAGTGATAAATTAAGCGATGGTTGATGGCTAATTTATTAGTAGCAATTGTGAATGAATGAAAAAAAGAGTGAATTAAAATATCCCTTTTTTGTAGCTAAATTTAGACAATTAAATCCGATTAATTAATTAATTAAACCCGATAGTATTAAAGCTTGAATACATACATTCATTCATAAATTTCCGTACATGCATTTCGAAATTAGTCGTGTGACATTTCCCTGAGGCTGCTTTTCTATATGTGAAAATAAATTCGAAATTCGTGTCACATGAAGTTTTTTTTAAAATATCTCGTTATTTTTATAATAAACTCGAATTTTGTTGTTAGACTAAAATGAAAGTACTCCATTAAAGCTTTCTAATGAATAATTTTTCATATCGAAAGGCCTTCTCTACATGAATTCACAGCTATTCAAAAACGGTATTACTTTTTCACTTCAAACCTCAGATTATTTCTCAATATCGCTTTAAAAGACTTGATAATAAACAAGAAGGTGTAGAGTACTTTAAGCTTTCATATGGTCATTACTTTATGGGGGTATTGGTTGACCCCACTGCTGCACATGATTGTGGCAGGAAAATCTCATCGGCGCAGCAGCAGCAATGGGGTTTTCTTTTCGTCACAGTCAGCTAATAGGGTGATTCCGATTTAGCATAACAAATTTTACTTGTTATCAGCCATACTATATATCAGTAGATTCATTCTTTCATTGTTAACCAGAAATTAAAAAATATGCACATCATGACAAATGTGGAAGGATCAACATTTATTATAAAAAGATGACCGCAACACTCTAATTCGGGTCAATAGTCAATCAAAAAAAGAAACTCAAAAGGGGTCGCCTGGTCGAATATGGTGATTAATGTTTATTGCTATATTAAAAAACTCAGTCTCCATATTCTTATTACAATATTACAATAATGAATAACACGAACACGAATTAATTCTTTTTAGTAAAAAATAAAATTGCCAAGAAAAAATCCCATTTATAAGTGCCATATTTTTTTATTTAGTAATAAATAATGTTTGAATTTTCTTTCATAATAAAAAAAATATCAATTCCGAGAAATGATTTCTTTAATATTAATACTACTATTTATATTAAATATAGTACCGGTCAAATCACAAAATTACGCAATTCCTGCACCTGATATAGCTGGCATACCAAGCGATTCTAGTATAACGTATCCAGATTATGAATACACAAAATTGCTTTCTTATTCTTTATATTTTTATGAAGCTCAGAGAAGTGGTAAATTACCTCCCAATAACAGAGTAACATGGTAATTAAAAAAAAAAGAATCTTTTAATGATTGATGCATTGATAGATTAATTAAATCAATTATTATTAATTAGGAGAAAAGATTCTGCGTTGACTGATGGTCAGGATGTTAAACTTGATCTCACTGGAGTAAGTATATCATATTTAATTATTAAAACGATATGTTGATTTTTATTATTTTGCAAGTTTTTAATTTAATCTTTAACATATAAATAATGATATAGGGATATTATGACGCTGGTATGTTTCATTATCAATTGATCTTAATTAACAATAAAAAAAAAATTATTTAGTAGTTAAAAGGTCATTATCATCGTCTTAAAAAATTTTAGGGGACTATTTGAAATTCACTTTACCATTATCCTGGACAATTACATCTTTATCATGGGGCGCATATGAATGGTTTGATGGATATCAACTTGCAAACCAAACTCAATACCTTCAAGATATGATTAGATGGGGAACAGATTGGCTAATAAAATCTCATCCTGACAATAACACTTTATACATTCAAATTGGATTGGGTGATGTAGACAATAATTACTGGGGACCTGATACAAAGTTAATTTAATTTATTAATGTTATTTTTTGGGTGGGATTTAAAAAAAATATTAAAGAATATTTGTATTATTTTATTTTAGTATTCCTTTACCGCGTCCATCATTTAATGTAAATTCTTCTGCTCATGGAACAGATGTTGTTGCCGAAACTGCAGCTGCGATGGCATCTGCCTCTATGTTATTCCGAGAAAAACTAAACGATACTACTTATGCTGATATTTTATTATCACATGCAAAGTCTTTATATGACTTTGCAGTAACAGCCCCATTAGTCAAATATCAAGATTCCGTTAGTGAGGCTAAGGACTTTTATTCATCTTCGGGATTTGGTGATGAATTAGTTTGGGCTTCACTTTGGTTATATCGAGCAACAAAGACTCAAGATTATATGAATAATGCTATAAATTATTTTGATACCTATTCCTTAGGTGGTTTAAATAAGGTTATTAATTGGGATGATAAAACTGGTGCCTGTTATGTGTTATTAGCTAAATTAACCCAAGAATCCAACCAAGATAGCAGTAGATGGACAAAAGAATCAGAAAGATATTTAGATGGTGTTGCAAGTGCATCAAATGGATGTAAATTTACAAAAGGTGGATTATACTTTTGTGATGGTGACAGCGATGCAGCATCTTTAAATCCTGCTCTCAACGCAGCTTTTGTGTCTTTATTGTATTCACCTTTAGCCACTTCCACTTCTAAATCTAATAAATATAATGATTTTGCCAATTCGCAAATTAATTATTTGTTGGGTAAAAATCCCTCAAAAATACCTTATGTCATTGGTGTCCACCCCAATTCACCTCAAAATCCTCATCATGCTGGTGCGCATGGCGGCAGTAACATAGGAAATTTGAATGATCCTCCTGTGACTCAACATATTTTATACGGTTGTATTGTTGGTGGACCTAAGAAAACAGATAAATTTGATGATGATCGAACTAAGTATGACGAAACTGAGGTATTATTATTATAATTATTGTTATTGTTATTGTTATTGTTATTATTATTATTTGGAAGAAATTAAATATTAAAATTATTTCTTTTGTAGGCTGCATTGGATTATAATGCACCATTTCAAAGTTTAATGGCTTATCAAGTAATTAATTCAAAAGAAGATCCATATTATGTTACTTTACCACCTGGCAGAGGAGTGGTTAAAGAAACATCAATGACAGTATTGATTGTTGTATTAGTTGTTGTATTTGTATTATTATTTTTAATTGTTGGTTTGATTATTTGGAAGAGAAAATCAATTTCAAAACTATATAAAAAACTTGTAAGGAAATTTAAAAAATAGATTAAAGATGATAATAATAATCATAATAATAATAATAAATAAATAATATTTATAACTAAATAAATTAAAACAAAGCGGCTAATAGTGATGCGCGAATTTTATAAACAATAACAGCGTGCCAAAGTATAAAAGAATTTTATACCAAGACATTTTCATCGTTTACAACCATTATCTATTACAACCATTGATTGGGAAAAAGAGAACTTGTATGCAGCTTCAATACAATTTAAAGTCGGATAACAACATTTAAAAATATTAATAAAATACCTTAATTTCCTATTCAATTGCTAAATATATTTTAGGTTCAATTAATGGAATCCTTTAAAGCAATTTCCAAAGGTGATCTAAAGACCAAAGATACCAATTACATCTTGTTTATTTAATAATAATGAACTTATCAATCAACCTCTCGATTAATTGTATTTAGCCAAATAATTTACCATTTAAGTGAATAATTTCCAATTGATTAACGATATTAAAAATAATCTTCAAGTTTGATGCGTGTTGTAAATCCAACAAATCCTTTGTCGCTCTGGCACAATTCTATACTATACTATGTTTATTATTATTAGTCAATAATATCATTATCTTCTTTATTATCATCCTCCATCTCTTTATTCTTTTTGACCCATTTCTTAATTGCTTCTATTGTTTTTTTCTAGGATTGATTTTTCGTTGATAGAAGTATGTGATAGCGGAAGCAATAATTCCAAGGTCACTAATTAGTGTACTTGGTTTATGTTTTATTTTTATTATTTCATTGATTTTTAGTCTATATTATATAGCTAGTCCTTATAAGTCCAATCAATAATCCATGAAAAATTTCGTTTGTATTTGTAAAAAGCATTTTTTGTCAAATTCGATGTGTTGAGCTTGGATTATGAGCATTTATCAAACAGTTATCCAAGGTTGATTATGGTGTTTGGCCACATATTCTCTAAAACCCATTATACAAAACTTTAGCTCATTTTGTTGTTGTTATATAATTAATTAAATTGACTTGATCCTTATTATATACATCTAGTGAGAAATGAGGCAAAACCACACAATGATAGCAAAGCATTCCACATCTAAAATATATTTTTTATTTTTTTTTGTTTTGAATTCAATCACATATTTAATAATATTGTTACAATATACTCCACATACACTATATTATTTCGAATAAAATAGATCAAGCAGGGTTGCAGAATTTCGCTGTACGAGAAGAATCTTTGTACGTACGATGTACGACTATACTTCGTACAATTGAGTTCGTTGTGGACGTATACCTGTACGAGAAACAATGGTTTACTGTAATGATAAAATATTATTTTGTAAAGTCCTATAATATTATTGTTATTGTCATTGTTATTGTTATTAAGCCGTTAACCCTATTACTATTTATTATAAATGGATTACTATATAGATGTTGTAACGGGTCGTAATACTACTTCATTATCAGGAAAATCCCTCTTTTTTATTTTATATTCTGTGGTACATTAAAAAGTAAATATCCCATGATTTCTAAATTTTTTTCCTTGAATAAAAAATTATCCTTTTTTAATTGAAATCATAATTACATTTTCAGCACTTAATCCTACAATTCTTTTATTCTGATGGTAAAGCTTCGAAAGATTACTAGGACCACTTTTTTTGTTTTGTTTCAATGATGTAATAAATTATTAAACTTGGTGAAAACAGGAATGAATTAAAAACGATAGTAGATAGAATTGAACACATACTGCAACATTTTAGTATACAGTAAAAAAGAAAAAAAAATTTATTTAATTAACAATTAACAATTTATTTAATTCTATTTCATCTCAATCATCTAGTTATGGAAGATGATGAACTTTATAACTTAGATGTCCAAAGTATTGATCATCCAGCAACAAGTTCTGGTGAAGAATGGATACTAAAAAACGATCTTTTTTTTAATTTATGAATGATGACGAATTAATGTATATTACATTTGATCAACCAATAAAAATTGGCATAAGTCACATGATATGTTCGTACAATGTACTAAAAAAATTTTAAGCTCGTACGTACGTGTACGAGTATCCCAACCCTGAAATAGATGTTAATTAAATCAATACTAATTCTATAAAAAACATTGAAAAATATAAAAATATGCTTATATATAAAAATAATTAATGTATAAAATAATTAACATAAATAAATAAATAAATAATAAATAAATAAACGAATAATTTATGAATATATTAAACAATCCTTTCCCACTTCTTGAATAACACACAATATACATATATATAATTCTAATATTATTAATATTATAAATTTTTTAGAATTCCAGGACAAAATTACTTTCATAAATTTGGCCAGTTCGTTTATTAATGGCCATTGCTTTAACTTCCATTGTACCGAAAGTTAAACTAAACTCTACTAAACGATTTTTGCCTTTTTGTGGATCTGGTAAATCGATTTTCATCTTACCAAGCATCCTCATTCCATCTTCATCGCAATATCTTGCATTATTATCGGTTGTAATGAAAATATTAAATGTCATGTCTATTTGATTGGTAGCTACTGGCGCTGCTGTATAGGAAAACTTTTGGTCAACCGATACTTCTGTGCCACGGAAAGCCAATTTATGAAACCTGAAAATACGTCCCGTTGGAGTTTTACGTTCTGGTGGATCATTTTTTTCCCATTTGGCACTGACTTCAACTCCATAACAAAATTTCAGAACCCTAGTTTGAACTACTCCCATATTAAGCCCGTATTCTAATGATCCTCTTACCACTGCTGCAATAGGATGCTTTGGTACAGCAATTATTGTCACCTATTAACATGAATATATATATATACATATTCATTTAATATTTTTATCATAACAAACATATAATTATGTATAAATGAAGACAAAGAAATTTACCATATTCATGAAATTTCTACGAATTTGATATTGTAAATAAAGACTTTCACTAAAACCTCCAACCAAAAACATTGCCATACATCTTCGTTCCATCTGACCTAATTGTCGACGGATTAATTCAATAATCTTATTTACCACAGGATCAAACATATCCTTTATGACTTGAAATTCCAATTCAATCAACCACTCAGCTTCCTCCATCTGATCCCGTGCATTACCGGTAACATATTTCATAAGTGCTGGACAAACTTTTTCTATATCAATCTCTTTTGTGGTAAACCCATTCGGGTTTCCAGAAAATGTAAATTTAACTCTGTTGCAAAAATATTGTACTAAATATTGAAGTTGTCCATAATTGTTTTCCTTGAGTTTTTTCATTGCAGCAAACCCTAACTTTTTCCCAAGGTACTTTAAAAATTCCCTGTCAACATAGGATGACCCACACAAATCACCACTCCTTTCAGTGATCTCCCCAAGTTTATTTTGGGGTAACAATGTCCTTGTAGTCAAATCTACCGTACCACCACCACAATCTACTATCATGAATGATGCTGTAATAATAATAATAATATAATTAGATATTTATAAGTAATTAAGCTATTAAACAAATATTAAACTTACATCCTACTGCTAGATTATGTTCAGCTAAAGTTTTTATACAATATATAGCAGCTGCTTCCGCTACAAAAAATAAATATATAAATATCGGTTAAATACTATTGTCACATATATATAATATGAATTATTTACAATGATTATGACTTTTTTCATCTTCTAATATAAAACTATAAATATATAACTTACGTTCTGTAGTGAATTCTAAATTATCTGATTGCCTGGCTTCTAAATAACCAGCATTGTACATACACTCTCTCATGACAGCTCTTGCGTCATGACCCCTATTTAAATATTAATTAATGATTATTTTAGGTTGGATGGAGTTGTATAATATATATTTATATTTTAGGTGAATTAAACCCTCCCCCCTAATTTACCATTCAGCAGGAACTGATATAACAAATCTTACTTGTTGAGGATATTTCATACCTATTTAAATAAAATTTAAATAAAAAATGAGGTTAATATAATTATATGCAAGTATAAATAAATAAATAAATATATTAATGGTTGATTGATTGATTACCAGGCCATCGAGTACTTAAAACTTGTGCAATTAACTACATAAATATATATAAATATACATATAACAGATTTAAAAAAAAAAAAATTTAATAATCAATATAGTAATTCGAAATTTTACTCACTTTATTCATTTCATGTAAATAATCTGTAATAGCCCTTCTAGAATCTAGGCCCAGGGGAAGTGGGGGTTTTTCGTCCTCCTTTACATTAGCTAAATGGAGTTTAAATAATTCCACCGGCCTTGATTGAGTTTGATTTCTCTTTGATCTTTTTGAGGGTTCTTCTGCCAATGCTGGATACCCCCACGCCAATAACTTGAGACTGTCATCGTATGATAACACTGTGTTTGTTTTAAATACTCCCGTTTGTGATGGCCTATTTCAATTATTATTAATTATTGTCATATTATTTAAATTTTTTAATTATTCATGCTAGTAGTTTGATTATTTTATTTCTCCCAAGATAGTTAAAAAAAAATTATTTTCATACCACTAGGAAGTTTGAAAGAAAAAAATTTTATGAATATATATTTATTTTTTTTTCCTTTTTTTGTTGGAATTATTTATTTAATTTATATTTTATATTTTACATATTTAACATAATGATATATTGATTCAAAATTAATAACTTTATGTATACATCTTTAGATGCAGTTAATTTTTCAAGTATTTTCAATGACAAAATCAAAAGATTAACAACTGTTCTTGACAACTAAGGCTCTGAACGGTTCGGTTTAAACCAAAATTTTCGGTTTGGTTTTGATTTTTAAAAAACCAATTCGAAAATTTTCGGATAATAATCAAAAAAAAATAAAACATAAAAAAATAAATAATAATAATAATTAATAATTAATTCCTCTCCTTCAATTTTACCATTAGTTATTGATTTTTTCATGAATGAACTACATAACTCTCTTGATAATAATTCACCTGATAATAGTTCTCCTATTTATAGTAGTGAAGAATTTGAAGAGGTAAAGCTCTGAACGGTTTGGTTTCAGTTTGGTTCAGCTAGATCTTCATATTTATATTATGAAAATTTCACTCTCTCTACAATGAATTTTCACCTTTGTTTGTTATAGAAGATGTTTGTTATACATGCAGAGCTATTTAAACCGAAGTCAAAAAAAAATCTTCAGTTTTAAAAAACCTTAATAAAATCGGCTTATAGAGATGATTTTTAATAAGTAGATAATAAAAAAAATTGGTTTATCATGTGTATTTATTTTATCAAAGCATCGTCTTGTTGAGTTCTGAATGTAGAGAAAAATTAATTATAAAAAAAGAATCAGGGAAGTCCATTATTATTATTATTATTATTATTATTATATGAACGGGTTTTCTCTGGGGGTACGGACTTAATTAATCAAAGGCGATGTAGTTTAGAGCCTAAAACAATAAGAATTTGTATGTGTTTAAAAAGCTGGTTGCGGCAATGAATTTGTTTTAATAAATAAATAATAATAATTTGTAAACAGATCTTTGTTACCATAGTCGAACCTTGTTATAAAGAAGTGTAACCTAATTAAATACATGTTATAATGACTTTTAACATTTTTGAAATCCGTTATAACATGACTAATAAATTTGTTATTATTATTATTATTATTATTATTATTATTATTATTATAACAGATTTTTAAATGTCTAAAATCCTTTATAACTTCATGTATATAGAAACAGGATCCTTCCAGCATTTTTACTTCGCAACACACATTCAGCCACAAGTCATTATAAGTTATTATGTTATGTTTATT